TCAGCGCGGTGGTTAAGACACCACTTGAGATGCTCACGTCGCATGCCCAAGTGCTTGGGTTTGAATTCCAGTTCCACTCCTGATCCCAGTTCACTCTAATGCACACCCTAGGAGGCTCAGGTGGTGGTTCAAGTGCTTGGGCCCCTGCATCCATGTGGGAGACCCAAATGAGGTTCCTGGTTCCTGGCTTTGGCCTGGCCCGATCCCAATTATTATAGGCACTGGGGAGTAAACCAGTGGATGGGAGACCTGTTGCTCTTTCTGCCTTTCAAATACATAAATAAATACATTTTTTAAAAAAGAATGACCACAGGTGCTGGAAGAATTATCCTATGACATGTTTTAAACTAGTTAGCACAAGAAGGAAAGACATCTCACGAAATTCCAAATAGATAGGGGAATTTTATACAAGATAAAGGTAGGATTTCAAAACAATGGGAGAAGATAGGTTACTCAATAAGTAAGGTTGGGACCAGTGGTTATCCACTTAGAAGAAAGCAACGCTAGACTTTTCCCTTGTATTGAAATAAATTCCAAGCAGATCAAAGATTTAATAGTGAGAGAAGGCAGCTCAGTGGTTAGCTGGGGCCAGGAGTGGAAGGTTAAGGAGCAGATGGAGCTTTGTAGAGGTTCTGGGAATGTGTCATCGCATGATTGGGCTGGTAGCCACATTGTTAATCTATCAAATCGTGCATCTAAAGTGAATGCATTTTAGGGGGCCAGTGTAGTGGCATAGCAGGTAAAGCTGCCACCTGTGACGCCAGCATCACACATGAGCACTGGTTTGAGTCCTGGCTGCTCTGCTTCCAATCCAGCTCCTGGCTAATGTACCTGAGAAAGCAGCAGAGGATGTCCCAAGTGCTTGGGCCCTGCCACCCACATGGGAGGCCACAAAGGAGTTCCAGGCTCCTGGCTGTGACCTGGCTCAGCCCTGGCCAATGTGGCCGTTTGGGGAGTGAACCAGTAGATGGGAAATCTTTCTCTCTCTCCCTCTCTCTAAAGATAACTCTGTGTTTCAAATCAATAAATAAATCTTTTATTTAAGAAAAGGAAAGAAGTGAGAGAATAGTTAATGTCTTTTATAATGGAGTGTCAGCTGCTATAATTTTAATGTTGATACATAGAGGACCAAAAGAATGTATACAAAAAAAAAAAAAAAAAAACAGGGAAAGTTAAAAGGAATTGCTCTACTGGGAAACCAGGGCTAAGAAGGAATAGGGTTGCGTCATTTAGAAAATTACCCTGATGCAACTTTGGTAGCTTCCAAGAACTCTACTACACAAGCTGTTCCAAAGGTCAGTGGACAGAAAGAGCAAACTAAACCAATTGAAAGCTCACATTCTGAAAGGGGCAGGAGATGGGATAGGGTAGCACCTTGGGTCTGCCGAAACACAGCAAAGGGTACGACCTGCTCTGTGGCTCCCAGGATCCAGGCACCGCCCCCTCTCTATGGCGTTGGTCTTCCTCACGGGACCAGAGTTGAGGCTGGAGGAAGGGGTCTGCAGCAGGGCCAGCTCACACTCTTGTTCCAGTGGAGAGAGGCAGATACAAGAATTCCCAGCCACAGCTGTACCTCACCAACTGCCCTCTGCCTCGAGTTTCATTGACTCACGCCATGCGTGACACAACACATACGGGGCCACAAAGGGGGCAAACTGGGTGTTTCCAGTGGGTGTCACTCCTGTTTGTTCCATTCTCTTACCACCTACAGGTCATCCAGGTCACCAGCCAACTATGTAGTGAACATGCCTCATGAGTTCTGCCTGTGTCCCACAAGCTACTTGCTTCCTCACTATCTGTCCAAAATCCTTCTTCTAAGCTCATGTATTCTCATTCGCTTTGTTTTCTTTGATAGCAGAATTGAATATTCTCAAATAATGCAGCAAATACACAACGTAGACAGAAGACTTGCTTATCGTCTTACACCTTTCAAGACTGTTTGAAAAAAAGGTGAAAGAAATGTCCTGAATTACTCTTAAAATACTGATAATTTGAAATGAAAGCAAAAACTTTGTATTTATATATATACACAGTTGTAAATCCTCAATTGTGGATTTATATGTTATTTTAGCACTTCGTTGTGCAACCTTTTTGTGTTCTAAAGATTTTGTAGCCATGAGTTTCACTGCAAAAATCATCAGATGGGTCACGAGAGGGCAATCCAATGTGTTCTTGCATCCTGGCTGTGTGACCCAGGCAGGTTACTGGACCCCGAACTCAGTTTCTCCCTCTGTATTTCTTTTTTTTTTTTTTTTGACAGGCAGAGTGGACAGTGAGAGAGAGGGACAGAGAGAAAGGTCTTCCTTTGCCATTGGTTCACCCTCCAATGGCCGCCATGGCCGGCGCGCTGCAGCCAGCTCACCACGCTGATCCGATGGCAGGAGCCAGGTACTTATCCTGGTCTCCCATGGGGTGCAGGGCCCAAGCACCTGGGCCATCCTCCACTGTACTCCCAGGCCACAGCAGAGAGCTGGCCTGGAAGAGGGGCAACTGGGACAGAATCCGGCGCCCCAACCGGGACTAGAACCCGGTGTGCCGATGCCGCAAGGCGGAGGATTAGCCTATTGAGCCGTGGCGCCGGCCAAAGAAGAGACTGTTTAAGGGATGATTCTTTGCTTTATAAACAGCCCTAAAACGTGGAAGCAGTGTCCAGTCACGAGTCAGTTAAGCAAGGTATCCATGCTGGGAAGGGGAAGATTTCTGGGGCCAACCCATCAACACCTGCTTTCCTGAAGGACCAAGCTTCAGCTCTGAGGGAGATGATTGTCCCTGTCCACCCAGATGTTGATCAGTCCTGCAGAGAACACACAGGGCTTGAATTCAGGGGCTATAAATTCTAATCCTAATTTGGGCACCAAAGGGTCTGAGCATTTTCAATGAATCATCATTCATTCCATATCTGTTGTTCACCCACCATACAAAGTGCCAGAAATATGAGGAGAGATGAGTAAAGACTTAACGTCTAGATCACACACGCACTATGGGTGGGCAGCAACGTCCCCTGGGTGAGAAGCAGGTGGAATGAAAGCTATTGCCTTGGTCTGTTCAGGCCATGGCTATAAATGCCATAAACCACCCAGTATGTGGGTAATTCTCATAGTTGTGAAATCCAACATCAAGACACTGGCACACCTTCTGCTGTGTCCTCACCTGTTGGAAGGGAGGAGGGGTAGCTCCGGGGCCTCCTTCACAAGGGGTTAATCCCACTCCTGAGGGCTCTACCACCATGGCCTAATCACTTCCCCAAATTCTACCTCCTAACACCTGCACCGTGGAATTGGGTTTCAATACATGAATTTGGCAAAGGGGATGCAAACATTCAGACCATAGCAGATGTTTCACGGCTTGCAACTTGAATGAGTAAAAGGCAGAGAGAGAAGAGAGGATTCTCTTTTCAGATCTCTTTCAAACCTTCTGAGATGTCAAGGAGACAGTTTCTATTCAGTGCCAGCCTTGAACAAGCCTCAAATACTTGCTTATTTCCTTTTCAAAAAAGAGCAGGCCAGGGCTGGCATTGTGGCTCAGTGGGTTAAGCTACCACCTGTGACACCAGCATCCCAAATGAGCATGGGTTGAGTGCTGGTTGCTCCACTTCCAATCCAGCTCCCTGCTAATATGCCTAGGAAAGCAGCAGAGATTGGCCCAAGTGCTTGGCCCCCTGCTATCCATGTAGGGTGGATTTCCAGGCTCCAAGCTTCAGCCTGGCCCAGCCTCAGCCTTTGCAAACATTTGGGAAGCGAACCAGCAGATAGAAGATCTCTTTCTCTCTTGTCTTTGCCTCTTTCTCTAATTCTGCCTTTCAAATAAATAAAAATTAAAAAAAAAAAAAAAAAACCAGGCCTCTAGGGGCCGACACTGTGGCCGCTGCCTGAAGTGCCAACATCCCATATGGGCACCGGTCCAAGTCCTGGTTGCTCCACTTCCGATCCAGCTCTCTGCTATGGCCTGAGAAAGCAGTACAAGATGGCCCAAGTCCTTGGGCCCTTGCATCCACATGGGAGACCCAGAAGAAGCTCCTGGATCCTAGCTTCAGATTGGCACAGCTCCAGCCATTGCAGCCAATTGGTGAGTGAACCAGTGAGTGAAAGACACCTCTCCCCCCTCCCCCCGTGTGTGTGTGTAACTCTTTCAAATAAATAAATAAATCTTTAAAAAAAAAAAAAAAAACAGGCCTCTAGCACAGAAAATAGGTAAAAGTTTTAAATTTTTAGTAAATATTGCATTTATTGTATTCTGCAGACAACAATAGCTAAAATTTTTAGTGTATTTTTGTTGTATTTATTGTTATGGGTACCTTATATTTATGGCAGTTCATTTTGATTCTTACAAATAAATAAATGAAGCCGGCGCCGTGGCTCAATAGGCTAATCCTCCACCTTGCGGCGCCGGCACACCGGGTTCTAGTCCCGGTTGGGGCGCCGGATTCTGTCCCGGTTGCCCCTCTTCCAGGCCAGCTCTCTGCTATGGCCAGGGAGTGCAGTGGAGGATGGCCCAGGTGCTTGGGCCCTGCACCCCATGGGAGACCAGGAAAAGCACCTGGCTCCTGGCTCCTGCCAGGATCAGCGCGGTGCGCCGGCTGCAGCGGCGGCCATTGGAGGGTGAACCAACGGCAAAGGAAGACCTTTCTCTCTCTGTCTCTCTCTCACTGTCCACTCTGCCTGTCAAAAAAAAAAAAAAAAAAAAAAAAAAAAAAAAAACAAATAAATAAATGATCCAAAATTTTGTTTTTAAAATGTATTAAATGGAACTACATTTAAAATGTTGAGTAGATTTAGAACAATTAATAGTACAGGTGTAGTAGAAAGTAAGACAAGAATCTAGAAGACAGTAAGCAAATAATTAGAGTTTGAGATTCAGATGAGTATAAGGAATGGTGGTATCTGCCCATCTCCCCTACAAAACTGTTACAAGTGTTAAGTATGAAAATAACCATTAATGAGTTTTGAGAAGAGACTCAAATCCATTTACTCTAAGATACTGAAGAAAATTCCCGCACAAACCTGTGCATTCCCACCTGCACTCATCTGAAATCAAGATGGGAGCAAACCACTTCCCTGCTTTGGCGTCAGTCGATGTTCAAACTATATTCTCCCCATCTATGCATCTTTGTAACAATGGAGACTTCATCCAGACAAATCCATGTCCCATCGCAACACATACGGAACACTTGCCCAGTGATTCTTGTTGACAGAATAAAGAGGATCTGTAAAAAGGTTAAGATAAGTTTTAGTCAGGGCAACATATAAGTGGCCTGGGCCCGGGAGACACAAGCCCAGTGACTTTGAATGAGTCTCGAGAAGCATTCCAAAGTGCTCAAATTGTAGTCTGAATTTATGTATTACACAGTGAGCTTCTATTGGCCAAGCCCATAAACACTGGGCCTTTGCCAAGGGATGGAGGAAGAGTTGTTCACTGGTTGGAGATTGCTGTCATTGGAGTAGGACTGTCGGCAAGCACTAGTAGACAGAGGGAAGGTGTGTCTCTGGAAAGAGGCTATTGAAAAGAAGGCTGCTGATTCATTTTAAAGAGGGCATTTCTGGGAATAGATAAGGAATGCATGGATAAAGAACAAAGGATTGCTCAAGGTTGCTCCAGACAGCTAAGACAAAACAGACCCTGTGTGCACGTCACCCAAGTCAAATTGACCTGATAAGATGACTAGCTCTGTCCACCCAGTCCGCAGCTAAGTCTCAGCAGGTGTTTCTGCTGAATGTTTTGCAGACTTTTTAGGGGCAGTTTGCTCTCATTTCATTTAAAGGCTCTTAAAGACAAGTACTTTTAGGATTATAGTTGTTTACTCAGAGGTCAAGGCTCAAATCGGTCCTCTTCCCTCACTGGAGACAGCTGGCCCCTTTGTGCCCATGATGGTTAATGTCATGTATTAAGTTGGTTGGGCCATTAGTTGCTCATATATCTAGTCAAACATTATTCTGGGTGGACCTCATTTAATCAGTGGAAAGTCTGAGTACAACAAAAAGATTGACCTTCCCCCAAGCAAGGAAGAATTCTCCAGCAGACTGCCTTGAGCCCGAGTCTGAATATCTGCTCTTCTTGCCAGCTGGCCTTCACCAGGGTCCGCCACCTGCTGGCCCACACTGCAGACTGGGCCTGCCAGCCACTCATAATCCTGGGAGCCTAGTCATCATTCTGTCTCCATATTTGAAAATGCATGTCCTACTTACTCTGACTCTCTGGAGAACGCTGCCTAATACCACATCTTCCTTACTGCTGAGCAAATATGATTTATACCATGCTGCTTTCTCACTGTGTCGATTGGGTGCATCCTTTGAGAGGCTGGATTTACCATGGTTTATCTCCTTTATGTTTGCAAGGTCAGGGTCAGGGTTACAGAGTCATGTTAGAGAAGCTGAGAACAATGGGTATGACGACTCTAAATACTCAGAGAATACCTATATGCTGGCGCCTGTGCTACGTGTGCTCAGATGTTTATTCTGCAACCGCTGTGGACAGCCCTTCCTCTTTCACAGCTCACAGCTGAGGAAATGTGCTTAGGACGGTTAGGTGGCTTGTCCAAGGTTGCACAGTGATGGGGTGGCACACCAGGATTTGACTCAAGACTTCCAGCCCCTTGATATGTGTTGTCTTTGGTATCTCCTTCCTGCTCAGAAGGCACCAACCAAAAGGGCAGGAGAGACTGGAGAAGGGGAGTTTGTGATGTTTGCTGCTTGGTATTTTTATGTACTCTTATGGTTATTAACAAAGGTATCCTGCCTAGCATCCCAAAGGAGTTTCAATTGTTCAATAAAAGCCACATAAGGAGAAAAAAAATACCACACCTTTTTGAGAATTAAAAGAAGTCGTCCCTGGGGTGATGCAGGCTCCCGCTAGACAAGAGAGGGGGACTCCTGGCATCCTTGGGATGAGACACAACAGCCATGCCCACCTGCTTCATGCACACATCGTTACTGAATAAAGATCTTTTAACACTAGCAACATCGATAAAAAGCAATATATGTCCCAGGTGCTGGAAAATACTGTTTTCAGACCAGCAGTTCGAAAAATGAGTAGACATGGAGCACGATGGGAATTAACACAAATGACCAAAGACAAATATGAAAAGCTGGGAGAAATATTTTCAAATCTATGAAGACAAAAGTTAACATATAGAAAAAAATTCATACATCAGTGAAGAAAAAAATGGATAACACACTGTTTAAATGGGCAATGGACATAAGCAGACAGTTCCATAAATGAGAAATAAAAGTGGGATCCAACATCAGTCATCATCGAAGGAACACACTGTGGCTGTAGAACAGGTGAAGATCAACCAGTGAATGAATGTGTGTGGCTACAGGGTGCTGGGCACCTCATGGGCTGCTGTAAGAGTGTAAGCTGAGTTAACGTTCTTCAAGGTCATTAAAAAACAAATATCAGTACCTTAAAATGTTTATACCCTCTGACCCAGCCTACATACTTGTGAGCATATATCCCAAGGAAATAGAAAGACTCAAAATGTCTTACTGCACAACAGTGTGTATTAGAAGGTTATTTCTAGTGGTCAAGAATCAGAAATAATCTAAATGCTCAACAGCAGGAAATGGCTAAATAACTGACACCTCATTAATACAATGAAATGAAAAGCAGTCATTTCTTCAAGTATTTTTCTGCCCTGGCCCCCACCTGATTCAGGGCTCCTAGTTGGATGTATATTATAGACCACTTGAGCTGTGCCAAAATTCGCTGGTACTTAGTTCTCTTTTTTACTTACTCTTTTTTTTAGAAGTTTTTTAAACTCACTGTTTTTTTATTATTTTTATTTATTTATTTGAGATACAGAGACAGAGTGAGCTTCCATCCAAATGCCTGAAACAGCCAGGATTGGAAAGGCAGAAGCCAGGAGCTGGGAACTCCATACCAATATCCCACATGGGTTGCAAGAACCCAGTTTCTTGGGCCTTCACTGCTGCCTTGCAAGGTCTGCACTAGCAGGAAGCTCAAGTCAGGAGCCAGAGACAGAAATGAAACCCAGGTGCTCCAGTGTGGAATGTAGCCATCTCAACTGAGAAACCAAATATCTGCTCCTTTGTTCACTTTTTTCTGTACTTCCTGAAGCTATTAATGACCTGGCATTTCTATCCTACCCAGCACATAAGAAAAGTGAGCCCTGGCAGCCAGAGCAGGTCCTGGGGCTGCGAGTTGCAGTCCTGGTGGTTGGAAGCAGCGTAGGGCTGAACACAAGTGCTGAGGGCCAGAGAGACTCAGAGCACCAACAGCTGCTCCTGTCTCAACCCTGCCCTTAACTCTTCCAGGCTCCCCAACTTCATAGTCAGCTGAGGGTCCAGGTTTAGCTCCCCATCAGACAAGGAATCACAGCCTTGAGTTTGTGGCAGGGGCACATCCACAAAGCAGACAGAAAGGAAAAGAGGAGACATTCCTGGGTGAGCCGAGCCGTGGGGAAGGCCGGGTAACAAATCCTCTTGCTGGATGCCCAGCCACCTGAGGGCTTCTCCATCCTCATCTCTGTCTATCCTGAAGCTTAGCAGGTTACACCCCAGACTGGGCAGGCAAACACAGCCGCTCGGAATGACTGGACTCAAAATACAGGGCGGAAGAAGTTAAAGCAGGAGTCAGACGGACAAGGTACATACAGGCAGGTACACAAGACAAGGTGTGGCCCGGGGGCCACACCTTCAGCTACAGTGCAGGCTAACAGTCTAGACAAAGCACAGCATTTCAAATACCAGTTCTGTGTCAGGCGCTGGGAAACAGAGGCTGCTTCGGCACTTTCTGCTGAAGCCTGCATACATCTGGGAACAGAGCAATGGGCCAGCGTGAAGTGGGAAAAATCCGGGCAGCAGCTGGTCCACACAGCATGAGGCAGAGGAGTACAGCAGGATGGGGGTGTGGGCTCCCGGGGTCCTTGGAGCCAAGAACCTAGACTATATTGTCAGAAGTGGCCGCGGACCACATTGAAATTCATTCCTGCAGGATGTTGAAGCAATGTTCCAGGTTCCAGTCCTGTCTCTGGCAGATTTCCCTCATAACACTCTTGCTGTCAGTCTGTAGGGAGTTTGTGAACTATCCATAATTTATTCCTTCATCCCGTCTCTTACTTGACCCTCCCACAAGTGCTCCATGCTGGGCAAACCCAGGGACACAGTGATCAACAAAGGCTTCCAGTTCCTGCCTCCCTCATCTCAGATTGCCACCCCTTCCCAGTCTCTCTCCCTATCCTCACACCATCTGTACAAATACACACGCACACACACACACACACGAGCCAAGGGTTATGAAGTGTCTGAAATTTTTTCCTACTTACAAAAATAACAGCTCAGTTCGCCACGCTCTCATGGATGCTGGCAGAAGACACAGGACTCCCGGGTCAGAGACAAAGGGCTTCGTTCTCACAGCACAGCAACCTGCATCAGCATCGGCATACTTGGCGCCGGCTTCCCAAGCTCGGATTCCCACGGGTCAACGTGGAAAGGACCAGTTGGGCTGGCGCCGTGGCTAGTAAGCTAATTCTCCACCTGCGGTGCCAGAACCCAGGGTTCTAGTCCCGGTTGGGGCGCCGGATTCTGTCCGGTTGCTCCTCTTCCAGTCCAGCTCTCTGCTGTGGCCCGGGAGGACAGTGGAGGATGGCCCAAGTGCTTGGGCCGTGCACCCGCATGGGAGACCAGGAGGAGGCACCTGGCTCCTGCCTTCGGATTGGCGCAGCGCTGGCCGTAGCAGCCACTTGGGGGGTGAACCAATGGAAAAAGGAAGACCTTTCTCTCTGTTTCTCTCTCTCTCACTGTCTAACTCTGCCTGTCAAAAAAAAAAAAAAAAAAAAAAAAAAAAAAAAAAAGACCAGTTGGCATGTGTTTGTGAAGTAGGACTACATTACAGCAAAGGAACCCAGTGCTTGGGGAACAAGCACCTTTTATGATAAGCAGTGAGCACGCCTTCCCTTGTTCAGGGGAAGATATACCCATGTCTTCTAAGACTTTTCACCATACAAACATCTTTGAACAAACAAAGCTGGTGCTCACTCACAAGACATCCAGAAACGTAAGAGGCAGATGGGGAATTACCTCCCGACTATCACCAGACAAGAAAAGCAGAGACTTTGGAAGTGGACTCTCTCTTCTGTTTACACCTTAGATCCCCTTTCACTAGCTGCATGACGGAATGTGTGTCTTAGTTTTGCTTTTATTTATTTATCTGAAAGGCAGAGGAGAGAGAGAGAGGGAAAGACAAAGA